AGAACAGTAACAACATATTCTGCTTACATTAAAAAAATTTAGATATTTTACTCTATTATTTTAATTTCCTTCAACTTTATAGTCTGGCTTCACCACAGAGTTTTTCTGAACTAAGTAAATGAAAACCCCAGATAACAAAAAATGGCCAAAACATCTTTTATTGGTGGTAACTAATTCCACATTGCACTACTTCTTTTTATAAAATCTAATGTATTGATAGATTAAACTGTTCAGCAGTATGTACAGTTAGCTGCCCTTTGGCTTTATGTTGGACGAAATCAATTTAAAGAAAAAGTGATGGACAAAACAGTCTTTTACATCAACAAAATAATCATTTGTTTCAGGAGACAAACCAGCAGGTATGAACAAATTTATCCTTTTTAACAAAGTGCAGCTGTAGAGCAAAGACTCAATGCATCTTTAATAATAAAAAGCTATATTTCCTTATGTAACATTTGATTTCTTATATTGAAAAAAAATCTTAGTTTGTGTCAATTTGTATCACTTTGAGTCGTTTTCAGAAATAATGACAGTATCTTTTCCTTTGTGTTCTGTAACAATAAACACACTATCATTGGGTGTTGACCTGGCCCTCTAAAGGCCTAGTACAAGTTAGACTTACTGTGAATCATGTAAATAATCTGTAGACGTCTTGATAATAAAAACAGCAGCAAGACAGCACCTCTGATTCTAGGGTCGGATTTTTTATTTTACCTCAACCTATTGTTTCACCTTGGAGATTTAAATAACGGACTAACTAAATAAAATCTCGTAAAATCTTTTCTTTTGAATACGATATGGGTGGTGCTGATTGACCCCTCGATCTTTTGACCTTCCCTGTCCTGCTGCAACACTGAGGCTAAGAAGCCAGAGACACGTATTTCTTCCCCCCTCCACCTCAGTCCTAAGAAATTATGCTGAAATAACACACAAGCTGCCTAATCTGATATTCATTCCTTTCTTATATAGCCCTGCTTTCCAAAGTTGACTAAGGCCACATTATTTAGGCATTAAGGTAGTGTGATAAGGGAATTAGGCTGGTCATTAATCGTTTACACGTCAAATGCAGCAGAGCAGCTCGGGGAGGTGATTTAGTGAGGCAAAGCCATATAGCCCTTGTTAATCCACCTCTCACACGTTTTAATTGGAAGAGGCTTCCTGGATAGGAAATTTATGAATGGATTTAAGGCCATTTCTTCCTTAAAGCCATCATTTATTTCATATTGTTAATAGGAGCTTTAACACTTTATCCACATGGAGACGTATTTTTCTCATCTCCCATTCAGCTATTGTCTTTTTGCACTGGCTGGTTAATTGCCACAGTGTTTTTATGATCCCTGTGCTACAAAAGGAGGGACGCAGCGTAAAGCAGACACACAAATGAAAACAAAGTGTGAAAGCGTTAATATGAGCAACTTTGTGCAGGATTTCCACACACGCAATGCAAATTTTGACATATTTATTTTTTGTATCAAGGCCCCATGTTTGGGTCTCTGCTTGAATCTCCATGACGACCCAAACGTGGATGAACAGAAAACGGCACTATTGACTTAACCCTCCTAGTGGCCTTAAGCTGCTGCTGCTGCTGCTGCAGTGCCAGCATTGTGCAGGCTGAATTTTTTGCCTTCAAATCTTCCAAAGGTCAGAGAATTAATCCTCTGAATAAACCTTGTTTTTAGCAGGGCTGCACACAGGCCACACAGGAGAGAGAGGGAGAGAGAAACGAGGCACGGGAAACATGCATGTGATGGACATTTAATTGTACATTAATATGTGGTGGAGTGGGAAGAATTGCCTTTTAGGAGCCACATAAACAAAGAATGCAGGAGGTTTTCCTGTCTCCTGCCTTTATTCCCGCTTTGTACTTCCATTCTTATTTTTCCCCAGCCTCTGATGTGAAAGGATTTGGCACTAAGATGCACGCAAGGGGAGGGGGGAGGAAAAAATCCTGAAAAGTGGATCAAAAAAGTAAATGAAAAATAATGTCATATTACTGAAAATATGAGAGGCTAATTTGTGCCGACTTTTTGCTAATTTTGTTCTCGCCACAGAAAGAGGAGCCGTCACCTGCTCGGCGCCACAGCGCTGACAGTGCCAGTGATCCATGAAATAAGCTGCCGCTGGCTTTGTTCAGATAAGAATGAACAAATCTGCACAATGTACTGCTCTCGGAATCTCATTTTCATACTTGCATGCAGGCTAAAAGAAATAAGCTGTTTGCAGGCTTGATTAATCAGACATTTGAGGGGTTTTTTTTTTTGTCTCTTTGATCTGTTCTGTCTCCTAGGTAACTTGGTTGACATTAATGTTGAGCCCCAGTAAAGACAATCGGGGAGTGTAGACTAAACAGATACAAAAAAAAGAAGAAAGAAACAGGGAAAATATTAAAGACCTTTAATGCTTTAAATGTAGTAAAAGCTGTGTTGTGAATTTAAAAGAGGGGGAAATGAGGGCCATGGAAGTGGGTTTTAATTTTGCTTTTGGAATGTTCAGGAAGGCGTGTTTTCAAGACCTTTTGCATTTCAAATGCAACCCCACAGGAGAGCAGGTTAATGTGGGTAATCCTCGTGTAGGCAAAAAGAAAAAGCTCTGTCAGTAAATCTCCAAATTAAACCATTTAGCATCATGCAGTTTCGTTTGATTTGCTCCCAGAATGAGCCAGTGTGGCTTTCTTTTTTTTTTTTCTCCTTTACAAACACAGAGAGCAAGAGCTGTTCTCAGATTTGTCAACAATTTAATAAATGTGTGGTTTATAATCTCAGCATGCATCAGAGCCACTCAGAAGCATTTAGCACCTACGCTGCTCTGCCAAGAAGCAGGGAACACCCTGAAGTGGTTTTATCTGCTCGCAAATCTACTGCAAATGTTTGAGCAACCGTCCCCCCCTCCTTGTTATAACTCTCTTAAAGAGGAGAGGGGAGGAGAAAAGAGGAGAAAACATGATTTGAGGAATTTAAAACCTATAAAAATGGCAAAGAACTGGAGAACTGTCATAGTATGTACGCTTCAGGTTATGCAGACGCTCTCACAAATCTTCCAGTGACTGTATAGATGAATGCCTTGAGGGCCCAGCCGGAGCCCAGTACTTGCAGCCAGCCGGAGCCCTTATCTTAAATCCAAGCAAAGTACCATTAATCTTTTTGAAAGACCTTTATGGCTTTTAATGTATCCCAAATTAGAACATTTTACACCCTTGGTTCCTGAAATATGGTGATAAAAAGCCTTTAGAGTTTAATTTTTCCTGCCTGCTCGCTCTGACCTGCTTAATCCCAGCATGCATTAGGAGATATTTTAGTTTCAGTCTTTCTAATAAAGTTTATCCCACTTAATTATAATTGAAACATTTTTTTCCAGCAGGTCTTTTTTTTTTTCAAGTGGCGCAGTGGTGGCACATTTCTTCATTACCTTAAGACTTTCTTTCCCCCTTGATTGTACTCTGAATATTACAAAGAATTACCCAAAGGTTTGGTGAAATTGTTCCAAGTTGTTTATCAAAGTTTGCCTTTGCTTGAATAATAAACCTATCTCAGGAGTGAAAGAGGGGGCAGGATTTTTCCCTTTGTTTCCTGTGCTTCTGTGTGACTGGGGTTATTGGGATTATTCTGCTTCACAATACACACATATGTCTTCCCTGGGATTTGAATGTTTGCCTCTTATAGTCACGGTCATTCTCTTCACTTCTGATTTCAGGGACTGCCTGCATTGCTCCAAAAAAAAAATCTCTTTTACAATTGGAGACGAGTGGAAAACGCCTTTGCAACATTTTTGAAGTGGAGGGGGGGAGGCAGCACAGCTGACGTCGTCTGTCATTGTTTGTTTAGTATTTCATTTGCACATTAAAAAAAGGCATCTAAAAGAAACAGCATTGAGAGGATGGAGGGGGAAAGACTGTAAACTCTAAGCTGAAAAACACAGCTCCTAAAATACATCAAATATATAGTGATGAGAATTTTATTGAAACAGTGCTCATGTTCAAAAAAATAAAACTACGCTTTTTGTTAATATTGTTAGAGACCTGTGCATAATATTCACCTTTTAGTTCTCTACAACATCTTAAAATTTTGCCGTCCTTGAAGAAAAAATGTCACATTTAATCTATCATCTAAAATGTGAGAGAGCCGAGTGACTTTATTCGCGACTCTTTGACAAAATACAAAGAAAACAAGCAGATATTGATATTTTTTCCACTTTTCTTTGTAATCTAAGCAGGTGTTGTCCCAACTTCCAAGTTTAGCATCCATTTAGAAAGTGTGTAAGAAGCTTTAGCTGCTCAGATACATCAAGGAGGGTTCAAATCCTCAATAAAAAAAAAAAGAAACATCGAGTCCTGCTACAGACCTGACTACGCAGGCTTTGGGATAATATATAAAGACAGAACACGTTGAAGCAGATTTCCTCCATGATGATGGGGCAACCCGCCTGCCATGTACCTTTTAAAAAGAGCTGGTCACATATTTTTTTTTCTTTTAAATGCTTCATGACTTGTAAGATATTGTACATCTTATTCATAGAAATAAGCAGGTGTTTGCTGCAGAAGTATTGTTGCAGAGAATTACTTAAATCTACTGTTTACATACTGAACAAGCAGTGGGTTAAATCTTATTATATGTTCAATTCAATTCAATTCAATTTTATTTATATAGCGCCAAATCACAACAAATGTCGCCTCAAGGCGCTATGTTCATCACATACATGTAAAATAGCATTTATTCCTACTGAATGAAATATATAATGTAGGCTTTCGTGGTCACATTCTGTCAAATATGTTGCACTCAGTCCTGACGTCACATATTGCCAGACTTGCTAGACTGCAGGATTGTACGGCATTCACGTGTCGTTTGGTTTAATGACAGTTTTGCTGTGGTGTGGAGGAGGCATCGCAGGCAGCAGAGACTTCGACAAGAAGCCACCCTCACACATCAGTCAGAAGGGGCTTTTTTTCTTGCCACAGACTGATTTTCATTCTCTAATGAGCCTCTCCTCTGTCTGCCTCCAAATAGATGGCCGTGAAAATCGCTCAAGCTGCTGATTGCCGTGACTTTGTGCAAGGCAAACAGGAAGAGGAAGCTTTGAGGGCAGCGCAGAAAAGGAAGAAGCAAATAGCCTGGGGGTATGACGTCTGTCTCTGGTCTCATGTTTATGTTTGCCATCATTTCTGCCATGCGCGACCACTCTGGGTTCAAGTACAGTTAAGATAGAGCCGCCGAAGCCTGAATTAGCTAGTGTGATTGAAGTTGATGGCTAAAATGTATTCATAAGGGCTTCAAAGTTTTTTTTTTCTGTTTTGCAGCTTTGAGGCGAAGAGGCGGTGGGAAACCAAAAGCAACATGGGCTACATGTGACAAACACGGAGGAAGAAGAACAAGACTTTATGTGTGTGTGTGTGTGTGTGTGTGTGTGTGTGTGGCAGACTGATCATGTTTCTTCTTATACTTTTTTGTATATTTTGAAGATTTTACAGCAGCAGCATGGGAGAGGAGAAAAGTCAGCAGTTG